TTGATGACGAACATGACTTTCACCAAGAGAGTTGGAACACCTAAATATATGGCACCTGAGGTGTTAGAACAAGAGAAGTACACAAAAAGTGCAGACGTTTTCTCGTTTGGAGTTACCACGTTCGAAGTGTTTGGATGGTTTCAAGCATATCCACTTGACATATTTAAGTTTCCTTCGAAAATAGCGGAATTCGTGATGTCTGGAAAACGTTTTGATAAAAAAGAAAATATTCCAAAAAAATATTTGATCAGATTGAAATGTGCTGGAAACAAAATACCAAAGAAAGAAAAACAATTGTTAAACTTGTTGATATAATTAAACACTGTTTAGGATTTGTATAAAAATTAAAAATTAAATAAAATTGAACATATATTAAATTTTAGATTAAAAATAATTGTTTTATAAAGCAATTTTTTTAAAAAATATATTTTTGTAAACTATTTAACTTTATCAAGAACAAAAATTTTTAATTCCAAAATTAAATTATGTTGTTTTACAACACAAAAGCCAATGCCATAACCATCATAACAAATATAACACCAGTTCCATCAGTGTATTTGGTATAACGACTGAAACGTATATCTTTATCATTAAGACATTTATCAATATCATAAGAATTTTCAGTTCCTTCTCCAGTGCAATCAGCAGTCTCGTATTCTGTTAAAGTCGCCTTGACATCAGTAACATCGACTTTACGACTTGACGTTTCAGAAAGTTTGGTACAACCATTTGGGTACACGGTCAATGTAGGTAAAGCCTCTTTATATGGCAAAATGCAGTTTTTATTATTGAAATAATTGTTTAATTCTAATATATGAGTTGGGATTTCATCAACAATTTTAATATCATTTGACAACATGTAGGTAGTTTCTTTCCAATTACCACATGTATCATCAGTCGAACTATACGCTTTGATAGTTGTTCCATTAATTGTATATTTATAATAACTGTTTTCATAAACGAAACACATATCTGGTTCAAACACATTAACTACATCACCTCTTCCTATATTAACAATATATTTAGAAAACGTTAAACATAAAAATAAAGCAAGAATGAGTGTTCTTTTCATAATGTTTAATGTGATAAATACAATTTGTTTAAACTTTATATATAATCGATTGTTAGAAAACAACAATTTATTTATGTTATTAACTTGAATAATCGTGTGGTTATTATAAATTACATTATTAAATAGTGTAGTTTAAAAGATAATGTTTATTTTTAGTTTATTAACATGTTTTATTAATATAATCAGTGTTTATATATTATTTATAAATTATTTAATAGAAACACTTTCGTAATTAACCATTATTTTATTTATTATATATTAACTGGGGTACTTAAAACAATTATTTTTTGATATAAAATAACAACACATTTTTATAGGTATTTCTATATTTTTTTGGTTTTTATGCTTCTTTTTTTTATAAGTGTGTAGTTTTATTTTTATTTTCCGAAATATAAAAAATACAATTTGAATTTTAGTGTTATTTATCTTATTTTGAATGAAATACAAACACTAAATTATTGTTATTTGAATCAAATATATAAATTTTTGGCGTTTCTATTCAGAATAATAAATTTTAATATTCAAAATAAATAACTTTATTAAAAAACACGAATACACAACAATATTGTATATTGTATAGAGTAAAAAAATAAAATAAAATAAAAATTTGTGTGTAGTTTTTTATTTTTAATTTTTATACACATTTTCATGTAAAAATATTATTGCATCTTTTTTAAAAAAACAAAAATATAATTTTTGTGGATACAGAAAAACTTCTCATTAATAGATTAAACGGGAAAGTAGAACCCCCCAAATAATTATAAATTTGATTTTTCCCTTTCCTTTCAATAAGTGTTTTTAATTTTGATTGGTTGAAATTTCTCT